CCCCCTCCCCCTCCCACATCTTCGCCACACCCCATCGCATCCCAAGCGACAAAGCACAACTGTTGCTTATGTATATACAACACATTGACTCTATTTGGCAAACGCTCTTGTTTCATCTCCCCAACAAATAAGGCTCCTCATTCTGAAGTAGTTTGTGAGAGTTACTGTCACATTACACACGCACACATGTATTCTCACAGAGAAAGCAACACAGAAGCTCACTTAAGGTTTTAAGCTTCACAGAATTAAATACTCACCTCGTACATAGATTATACCACCTCTGGCATTAAAATGGAGTTTTAATTATAAGTCATCTTTGTTTCAAATATTAATTAACATTAATTAGTTAAAATTAGTTATTTGTCCATTTCAATACTCTGGAATAATAGATTTATTGAGAGATTTGGAGCATTTTTTCCAATTGTAATAAGTTTGTTACTATTTAGAGAATTTCACCTTTCAAAGACCCCTATAAACATACGCCTATTAAAACACCACAAATGTGAAACAAAAACTAGATATTTGATTATTGAAAAATCATAGAAACACTTGTGTTTTTATTTTTTTGTACTTCATAGTTATTATTTATTTAATGATTATTTAAATCTTCCATATCTCAGTTTCCGAAGGAAAACAGGCGGGATGTTATACGAAACATTTTACAACCTGAAACAAAATAACAGTCCAAAAAATGTACAGACGTTACGCTGGTGTAACGTAGGATATGAAAACTATGAAAATGATCTGCTCTTATTTTCAGCAAAAATACTGAATAAATGCATAATAAAAACTGAGTTCATGTAAAACTTTTCTCTAAGTCAACGGCTAGAAAATCTAGAAGATCGCATCTGAATGCTAACGAAAACAGAAATGTGGCGGTTGCAAATAACATACGCTATCCTAAGTCCCCACCACATATCGCAAGATTAAGCCAAAATTAAAACTATACAAACACATCCAGGAGAGCAAGCCAAACTACAATGAGCGAACATGCAAACACCGAGAACATGGAGTGCAGGCTGCAGAGCATGCTGGCTGGCTCCGAGCGAAGGAGGCGGCAGGCGAAGGGAGAGCACTGAGTTACCTTGTGAGTGCGTCGTGCGGCGCCGCGATGGGCGTCGGAGCGACGCCGGGGCGCCGGGCTGCGCGGCCGAGGGCGCGGGGCGCGGGGTGCGGGGCGCGGGCGAG